ATCATTAAACTTGAATTGATATAGCTCATCTCTCACACACGTGAAGAAACGCCCTCAGCCGATCGTCGCAAAGTTCTCACGCAAAATCGGGACAAAATATTGCAGCAGGCAATATGGGCGTTATTTTGTCAAATGAAAATTATAGTACTCGACACAATCTTTACTATGGCAACATACTATATTTTCTCATATATCATCTGTTCACCGTCCATTATCAAGATTCTAACAAACAAACAGGAATTCTGTATGTGCCATGGCGGGGGAACTACTCAGTATGTCAATTTCACCCACTGACAGGCGAACTCATGCATCCTGAGTAATACTCAATCTTTATCTATGCGACACAATGTCGCCCCCAATATCTGCAAATCATGAAATGCAAAATGCACAATTTTGCGTTACGAATAATTCCAGTTAATGTTTATAAATACTTGTGTAATATCCTACTGGTATTATTATGATTGTGATTTCAACAAGAAATGTATGCGTATAATTTTTACAAAACATTTGACTGCAAAACACGAATTATTAAACAAATAAGGCAGCCAAACCCTGCAAATTAAGTTTGTGCTAAATAATCCTATTCGAATACATAATCATATATACATGATTCAATCAAATTATTAGCTCTGTCTCAAGGATAAAGACATAAAAACAAAAGAATTTCATAATGTCAAAAACAAAAAGCCTTTATCATAGTGTTTAAATTGTGCTCAGAGTCGATCAAAGTTCGAACCCTCTTATAACAACTAAATGAGACGCAATCCCGGCAAAACTAATGGTACCCATGATGAATCAGTTACATTTCAGTCACCTCTAAATACTTGGTCAAAAGTATGCAACACAATCTACAAATATCAACAGATATCAACGCGTCATCTGATATTTGAACTGTTGTCGATCTGTGAATGATTCTATACTAACAATAACACTGCCAAATAACCCAAAGATGCTCTAAATACATCTTGAAAAAAAAAAGAATAATGCTGATTGGAAACATTCTTCGCAAGAGAAAAACTAATTATTTACATCCAACTATGTCTACATACATACATGTATTTTCAACTATAGAGGGCGATATACTACAATATTTGAATAAACGCGGATAAAAAAAATATAGTAGCCTACAAAAATTGGTAACAACATTTTGTATAATTGACAGACAATTTTGTAGTTTGTATGTTTATAACATTATAGGAGAATATACTGTGCATAAATGCATGATTTGATGTAGGTACATATGATTCAAGTGAATACTATAATACAACATGGTAAAACCGAGATTTACAATTTGTTAATCAATTAAGGCAATATAATATTATTTTCACCAAAGAATTATGGTTCCTTTAGTGAAAAATACAAGTTGAATTATATTTTTTAAGTGACAGAGTAGCCATTAAACCAGGCGTACCACGCAGAAGATGTGATTCCTTCTAAGGAGGAAGATTTAACTTGTGCCAGATGTTCTGTTCAGCACCCCAGTACACGGAACACTAGCAAAGTGTCACTGCCATGCAGCAGAGCTTTTGCTACAAGTAATATGTATTTCATAATTTCCTTGGTGTCTTGGATAACCATAAAAATATAATAATTATAATATTATTATAAAAAATATAATTCACATTGGTCGAGATAAGCAATGACCTACTTCATTGATATTAAATAAATTGGCAATGACTGTATAAATCATGTAAAAAGACTGAATGTGAAAGATATATTGACTTCGAACTAAAGTGCAATTTTTCAAAATCCTGGTTGTCATAGTGATAGCGAAACATACTTCAACCAACGTACCATTTCCTGTGTTCTATAATTCAATAATATGATGTTATTACGAGGATACCTCAAAGTATGCACGAAGACTGTACAGCGGGAGTATCGACCGACGCGCAGCGGAGGACAATGCGACGGCGTACTGTCTGAGTGCATATGTTGAGGTATCCTCGTAATACTATTAACCTTATTATTATACATCTTTTCCGTGCGTAATCATTCCATATTTGGAATTCGCATTTCCTTATATGGTAGGATGAAAATACCCTGTAAAATACTGCAAAATTACGGCACCCTGTAACTTATGGCGTTGCGGTGACAGATGTATAATAATACACTTTCCTGTAAAGCAATGGACAAAGAACAGTTCATGTACGATTAGACTACGTATATGCTGTTTTACACAATATGTGTATTAATTCTACCCCGACAGTCAGATTGCTTTTTTTTCAATCTCTCTTAATATCCCCGACGGTTCAGGCTACTTTGTTGCATAAAAAGTGTTCTGCTCGATAGACGCAGGCATACGAAGAGATAATTGAACCATTATACTACATGTAAATGTGTGTGTGTGTTTAAAAAGACTTCCCGAACCATGTGAGTTTTGAAGAAGATGTTCTTAGAGTTGTTATCAGTTGTTAAAAATGCCTGTCACTTTTTTCTTTATACATTTACCAACTGTTTGAATTTAAAACATTTAATTACACTAAAGATAATTAATCACTTTATAACCTGTTTGGAGTGATGACCTGATTTCGTGAAAATGAAACGGCAATCATGGGAGACGAATATAAAATGTTCCACAAGGTTATCATACCAGGGAGAGACCAATACGTACATAGATCTCTTTATGTCAACACAAATCTTAAATCTGTTCCTGCTATGGTTCAAATAGCACTGCAAAAACAGTAGTGGAAAGAGAAAACAGAAGGTGGATTCAAGTGATAGATTGGATGTCAAACAAATTTGTTTCTATACATAACTTTATTGAATTGGAAGAAAATATTAGAAACTGTTTTGAAACCTGAGAGGAAAAATGTTTTATAGTTTCAACAGATTCCAGGCAGATATTTGATAGGACAGATCACACAACCACTCATTCATTCCATAATAGGTATGCAACATTTATGGTAATTTATGGTAATTTGGTTTAGATTGGAACCATAAATTACCATTACAATTGTAACATGAACAATTTTAGTTTAAGTATAGGCGTCTGTACTATATGTTATATCTATATAATCGTCTAATAATGTCCAAAATGTCTAAGTTAGACATCTCTCTTCGGGTAACTATTGGGGCAGTTCGTTTTTCTCCGATATTATCGTCTACTAATAATGTCCAAAATGTCTAAGTTAGACATCTCTCTTCGGGTAACTATTGGGGCAGTTCGTTTTTCTCCAATATTATCGTCTACTAATAATGTCCAAAATGTCTGTTAGACATCTCTCTTTGGGTAACTATTGGGGCAGTTCATTTTTCTCCGATATTATCGTCTACTAATAATGTTCAAAATGTCTAAGTTAGACATCTCTCTTCGGGTAAGTATTGGGGCAGTTCGTTTTTCT